CCCCAAAACCCCAAAACCCCAAAACCCCAAAACCCCAAGCAAAACTATACGTTAAGAATCAATAAATTAAGAATTTAAAATACAAATGGGAATAAAATTGCCCGAAATTATTTAATGATAACTCACTGTTATTATAAAATTTTACTTAAACAAAAGAGGGTAGCTCTTTGTTCTCTAATGAAAACTCCACTATATCAGAACTACATCTTTAACAATGAAAACTAATTGAATTATTCTCAAAGATCAATGCTCTCAGAGAATCAACCTAAAAAATCCTAGAATTTCTCAAGCATGCATGCCTAAAATCAAAATGATAAGGAAAACTAAATGGCAAGCAAAGACTTTGTGGCAGCAAGCCAGATCTTTAGGAAAAACATTGAAAATTAGTAAGCAATGAATCCTCATCAAAATTAGCAATATACTGCCTTGAATCAGTCAAGTAGGGTAAACTAGCAAAATTCAATGATGAAGCCTCAAATATTTGACTATAACCTCAAACCCTAAGAGCCTTAAATTCTACAGTCTAGTACCTTAGCTGCAAGAGAAATGAAAAGCTGTCGTGCTTTGGAAATAGCGCAGAGGTATATTAACTCTAATTCATTTACTCAAGTATCTGATGATAACATATACTAAGACAAAAGTGCTGATTAAATTGCCCAAAGTTCTCTTTAGTAAATTCAAAGTATGAATAGTAATAGTTCATAGGGGTATTTATCTATACTAAGTAGACTGACTTCACCACAAGCATCCCTTAGTCAGGGAAACTAACTAAATTTATCTGGACTTAACAATTCTTCTAACGGCATAGCTAATTTTTCATAGAGATCTATTACTCCAAATAAAACCAATACCTACTAAATTTAACAGAAAACTATTGGATCTCTATCAATGAACTCTTAAAGTTATCATGCTAATAGTAAATCTAGTTCAAATTTACTCAACGGCAAATCTTCAACTAGAGTTCAGAAAGAAATTTAAGGATTTAGTTGTATAAGCTCAAATCACTCAAACTGATAAAGAAATAATCTTGGTCTTAGTGACTGTAGTTCTAGATAGCAAACTACTAAAGAGAACTCATCTTACTCAAGCCAGAGTAATAAATCAGATGCTATGATGAAAAAAATACAAAACCCTAATAAACTTCAATAAACATCATCCTCTGCTAGTATCAGAGGGTAGAGTAGTGTTAGTAAATAAAGTAGCAGCACTTCTAAGAAATAGAGTACAAAAAGTACTTTAAACATTCCGAATAGCTCTGCTACGAATGCCTTAAGATAGCAGAGCGCTGTTAAGTAATAAACTGCCACTTCTAAATATAGATCACAAACTAATTCAATAAGAAAAACTTTTGGTTAAGAGCGTAAATATTCTTTTTCAAGTTGTCCAGCTAATAACCTAAATTAAAATTCATATCAGAAAAGTAATGAGAATGAAACAATGTCGACTAAGGATGAAACTTCATCAATGTAATCTTCTCAATCACAAGCATCTTTGTAGTCTTAAATCTAATCGTAGCAGACGTCAAAGAAAGATACGCCAGTATTGATGAAGCCTCTAAGAGAACATATAGTCTTAGGTCTGAAGAATATAGGAAACACTTGCTATATGAATTCAATACTTTAATGCATATTTGTAACACCTAAACTGACTGAATACTTTTTAGAAGGAGGATTTAAAAAGGAATATGAGGCTAGTTCAAGACAGATTCTACTAGGCAAGGACTTTTACTTACTTTTATCAGCCATTTAGAATGCAAAGTAAGGCCAAGGTGTTGCTGTTCCATCTGATTTGAAGCAGTCTATCAGTAAAAAGTCACCTTAGTTTAGATCTAGTGGTTAGTAGGATGCCTAAGAATTCCTTCGATGCTTCCTGGAGCAGCTAAATGAAGAGTTAAACAGAGTAATCATTAAGCCACCATATCAAGAGATAAACTTTGATAATCTAAGTCTTCTTTAGCAAAGCTAGGGATGGTGGAAATATAACAAATCAAGAGAAAACTCACTTATTTAGGATATCTTTGAAGGTTAATTGTTCCTAAAGACTCAATGCTAGATATGTGGATACGAATCTTACAAGTTTGACAACTATATGGATCTAAGCATCCCAATTCCAATAAAAAATACTAGAAGTGGAAGAAGTACATTTGATAATGCAGTTTAATTGGAGGATTGTCTTAATGCATTTATTCAGGAGGAAGATATGGAGAAATGCGGTTATAAATGCTAAAAATGCAAAAGCGAAGATAACTTTAAGAATCAAATGACAGTTTGGAAATATCCTTAAATTCTTGTTATACATCTGAAGAGATTTCAATACAGCACTAGTTGGAAGCAGAAACTTAATGTTAAAGTAAATATTCCCTTTGAGATCGATATGAGAAAATATGCACCATACTCAAGTAATGATTTCTCACAACTAACTTTTTTAGAGGATGAGCAAATTCTTAAAAATAACACAAAGTACTCATTATATGGTATGTGCCATCATTTTGGATCTTTGTATGGAGGACATTACTTATCGTAAAATTTTATTTCATTAAATTACTATTTAGGGAGATTAAAACAATAAATGATAAGTGGTACAGTTGTAATGACTCAATTGTTTAACAAATAGATGCTCCAAATAATATCAACTCTGAGTCGGCTTATTTACTCTTCTATCAGTTGCAGGAGATGCCAAAGAATGAAGGAAATTTCAACTCAAAGCTTTGAATTGAAATTCTTGTTATTGGCCAGTTAAGCAGATAAAAGAGCAATTAATGCCACTTATAAAATTAAAATCAAATAATTCCTCTTAAAAATGCATTTAATCATAAATCATGCACTAAATTGTTATGCTGCTTACGGGGTTTTGGGGTTTTGG